ATGGTATGTAGAGATTCTCTAAATCTGATTTACATTTCTTTTCTGAATTATTAAACATTTTAAAATTTATTTAGATTCAATTCGATATATTGGAATCTGGAAGTATTTCTTATCATCTTTTTTTTATTTTGAAAGTATCAATATGCCAGTCCACATTTTGAAAATCCCAAGACTATAGTATTCGTTGTTAATGTTTAAACTGAATTTTGCACATCTTGCGCTATGTCTTGTTAAAAAGTCAAAATTGTAAAAAAATATATATACGCATTGTATATATACGGGGTGTCCCAATAAACATAGGAATTGAGTGACAATTACGATGTCGTCTTTTTAAATAATTCTTTGATTTAGTATAGTGATAACTGATACCTAGTACCTCATAAGACAGCTGTAATCCGTTAGATTTTCGTCTGCTATGTTTACAATTTCACATTAAACACTAAACAGCATTATACCGTTTTTATAAAATAAACCCTATCAGACGTGATCAGTCTATGTATAATAAACCCTAGCAGACATGATTAGACTATGGGTTTCGAAATCTGGTATTATAATACTAATTCTTAACATCGACAATCTCGAATTCGTCACTCAATTCCCACGTTTATTGGGACACCCTGTACATATATAAAGTGTGTTAAGTTATTATTAAAGAAACCCCTGGATGAATAGAGGAGAACATGGCACAATTCTTGTATTTCATTAATTATTTATTAACAATGATTTTCTTTTTCCTTTTTCTTTTCACAGTGCTGCGGCAATTTACCATGAAACAACTTTTCCAGTTGACATCTTTGCCACTTGACATCTTTGCCAGTTGACATCTTTACCAGCTGACATCTTTGCCAGTTGACATCTTTGCCAGTTGACATCTTTGCCAGTTGACATCTTTGCCAGTTGACGTCTTTGCCAGTTGGCAACTTTGCCAGTTGGCAACTTTGTCAGTTGACATCTTTGCCAGTTGACATCTTTGCCAGTTGACATCTTTGCCAGTTGACATCTTTGCCAGTTGACATCTTTGCCAGTTGACATCTTTGCCACTTGACATCTTTGTCAGTTGACATCTTTGCCAGTTGGCAACTTTGCTATGATACAACTTTAAACACTAAAATTTATTTACTTCCACCAGTCATCGATTACAAGCCAAGTTTTTTAAATTGTAAATTTTATTTTCCATTTTTATGTTTCCCGAGCAAAGATATAAAACATTCATATTTTTAAAGTTGATCACAATAAAATGAAAAGTTTATTTAGAACAATGAATTAAAAAAACAAAAGTTGTTTGTTGTACTGTCTTCTTTGAACTTCTCAAGTATTATCCTTTGAGGGTAAAAAAGAAATTATTTCGAACTTATATAAACATTTCGTTTGAGAATTTTAAAATTAGGCTTTATATTTTGAATCCAAACTTTCTTGAATAATTTTAGCGAGAAAAAGTCCTTTTCAAATAACCTTTAAAAAAAACTTACGAATTTTTGTAGATTATAAGTTTGTTAAAACATAATAATTATTAAAAATATCCAAAATGGAGGTCCGTATTTAAAGTAAAAGCTATTTTTAATGATTGAAACTAAGAACTGTGTTAGATCAAATAATCTAAGGTTGCAAAGATATAGAGATTAGAAAATTTGGGTTTTTGTCAAATCTCAATTCCATTTTGAGATATTCTGTTCATAATTTCTAATAAAATGTGTTCATCTGTTTTATTTTACGAACAAAAAAATTAAGGTCTAAAAAAATTCTGATTACTTTTGTAGAATTTATTTTGAATACTCATTAAAATATACTTTTTGGCGTGTTACGCGAAAATTGAGATGATAAGACTTTTGTTCAATTTTTAATTGCATAACTAGTTTTTTATGAATTTGTAAAAATATTGTCTTTTTTTAGAGCACAATTCAAAAATACATATTTTTGGTGCTTTTACACTTTTTTTGCTGAAAATGCATTTTTCGAAAATACGAAGCAAGTGAATTTTCTAATTAAAACTATAAACTTAACTTTTCTACAGTCAAGAATTTGATCTTGTGATAAAATTCAAATATATTTTCCAAACGTCAGAGGGAGAAAAGATTCTAATTTGAATTACACAATTTGTTCTGAAATATTTAATTCAAATATGAAGTTCTGGATTCGGTTTGTGTTTCTCTAGTTTGAGAATTTATAAAGTTAGCATGAGATTAAAACTTCTCATTATACACCATACAAGGAACTGTGTCTATACGTACATAGTTAGCTTCAATTCAAACTTAAAGAGACAGTAAATGTAAGTTCAAGTGAACTTCTACTTAAAGAGTTTCAAAATATCAATGAAGATTGTTCATATAGTTATTTTTTTAACTGAAAATTATTCTTTCAATATTCGCTTTGCTGCATAAAACTGCAGGCTTATACTATTGTTAAAAATGAGAAAGTTTTAAACAGAAAAACAAGGATATCTCATTTCAAGATCATAAGAATTTAAGTTCAGGCAAAAATTTCAAGAGTACCCTTGTGAATTGGATATGTCTGTTCTTGGTCCGGGGTTTAGGCCGTTTAAGCAAAATTAATCCATGTATGATTGTAAGCGTAATTATAAGTGACCCTTCATGTATAGATTGCAAGGTACGATTTACAACGGTACCCTTGAAACACTATTCTGATCATTAAATTGAGAGTTTAATTCTGTTAATTTCTGCATTGTTTCTGAAAAGCAAGAAATGCGCAAGTAGTTATTGCAGAAAAACCACAAATGAAAAATAAACAGTTTAAATAAACAAACTCATGGATACCATAGCTCATTCATAATTATTCGACAAATCTTTACAGGGTAGCGGTGCACTGTAAATCTTTACAGGTTAGCAGTGCACTGTAAATCTTTACAGGGTAGCGGTGCACTGTAAATCTTTACAGGTTAGCGGTGCACTGTAAATCTTAACAGGGTAGCGGTGCACTGTAAATCGGACATTGTCATTGAAAGCAGGATCACTTGAAATTACGCTTACAGTCTCTTTAAACAAAATGGCAACTTTTGAATAAAATTTATAATTCTGTATTTTCTGCAAACTAAAGGTTTTGAATTTTGAAATTTAATTTAATATTTTTGTAATTATCCAACTGTTCTGCAGTTGACAACTACAGTTAGGACTTTCCAAAAGGGGCTTTCCAACTTTAACCATCTAGATTTAGGAATTGAGTGAAAATTATCGTTTAAATCGATTTGAACCAGTTTATTTTATTTATTAAAATTTCTTAACTGCGTGGAGGATGGTCAAACGGCTGGTCGGTGATTTATAAAAATCCATAACATTCCGCAACTTGATATTTTTTTAAATCGTTTTTAATTTTTTTTAAGGCTAAAGGCTTAATCAGAGCAAAACTAAACTTATGATATTTTTGAAATGAAGTTTTATCAAAATATTTCAAATAACGATCCAAAATGATCCAAAAAGATCCAAAATGATCCAAAACGATCCAAAANTATACTAGCTTTTGTAGCCATAAACATTTCAAATCCACAACGGCATATCTTTTTATTGAAAGGAATATATCTAATTGGCGAAGGCTGGATTTTTGCATGAAAGTATCTTATAACTGCTGGGTTGCTTGAAACCACGTGTACAGTCCCTTTAATATTTTCCAAAGGTGTCAAATATATGCACATGAATTTTCAAGTGCTGAAGGTTCCGACATGTTCAGCCGTTTTGACGTTTTTTGAACGCAAACAAACAAACGAACAATTAGAAGCAAACTACATAAAAGGATTGCTCAATGGTGCTTAAAAGTGCACAGGAATAAAATAAATTGAATTTGATCGAAATTGGAAAAAGAGATTTTATTTAACCTAAAGGGTGTAATAAATAAAAATCCCTTGAAAATTATATTTATAATTAGGAAAAAATACTGGCATAAAACACTGTCCAAAGTCCATGAACATTCAACATCATATGTAATAGTATTATAATATTCTTATTATCTTTATTATTATTATTATCATTTAAATTATTAGAATTTCTATAATTTAGATCAAATAATCTAAGGTTGCAAAGATATAGAGTTGTTATTATTATTATTATTATTATTATTATTATTATTATTATTATTATTATTAACGTTATCATTAAGATTTTGTACATTAGGAAGTTTTTAAGGTTTTGATTAACGCTAATTAAGCCAATTTGCTACTTGTTCGACATCCTAATTATTATTCAATAATAAACCATCAAGGTTAACCTGAAAGTATGATTTACTGAACTCAAATCTGTATTTTGTATTTGTACTAGCTTGGGAACCCAGCGTGGACCAGGTGAATCTAAGTTAGTTTACACTCCCCTTGTCGTAAATTACAATATTCGCTAATTTTCCTGATAAAAGTCGGCCCACTTAATTTAGAATCTCAAAATTAAGCTAAAAACAATTCTGTAGTTCTACCAAGTTCTCAAGTCCTCAAGTTGAGGCAAACTGGTCCAGGGGTTCCTGAGTTATGATCGGACAAACAGACAAACATTATATATATAGATATCGATATATCTAATATAAATGTCAAACTGAAATAAAGATTGAAATGTTTACAATTAGAACTCTGAGCTTTTTTAAACTTGCGCATACAGTTAAAAACTAGAGGACCTAGAATGTCACAAAGTTACACCAGTAAAGCCGCATAAACATTTTCCTTATTTTTTATATTAATATATATTTGATATACATTGATATGTCATTCAATCATTGTATAAATACAATCAATTAGAAAAAATAAATCTTAATTAAAAAACTTGAAGCTATGAATAAAGAATTACAAATAAATATTAATAAGCAGACTAAGCAGGGTAATCTAAATACTGTACAAGGCCAAAACAATAGGGAGGAACCCTTCTAGTTTTTATTTTAACTGTTTTATCTAGTAGAATATAAAGATTGGAAGAACGAATATCTTATACGTAAATATATAGACTTTAAATATCGAGTTTTAGGCAAATATTATTTTTCTGAAATTTAATTGAACAACCGGAGGTTTTCAGTGGGCGAATGAGATTCAGAAAAATTCAATAAAACGAGAATACAAAAAAGTGAAAAAGTGAAAAGTAAAACAGAAATGGGCCTTTCATCGAAAACTTCGTAAGGTTAGTTTTTTTTAAATCATCGGTTAGCTTAATCTTTTATTTTCTTCTCCTTTTAACATAAACAATCTTTAAAACTTAATAAATTTATAAAGTTTTCAAGTTTTATAGTTTAACAATAGTATAACTTGATAAATTGAAAATCTACATTTTTAAATTCGACAAAAATGTTCAAATTAAAACCTCAAACTCTAATTTTCGGATCCTTTTATCTTTTCAGATGTCGTTGCCCCCTCGATCTAACCTGTGTGCCCCCCCCGTTGCAAAATTTTTCAGTTACGGGCCTGGTCGGGTTGGGCCTTTTGCTATTCATAACTATACTTTCTTGTGATCAAATAATCTAAGTTTAGAATATTAAAGGTTTACACAAATATATGAAAAAAGACTTAGAGGTTAGAAAATTTGATTTTGTGGCCAAAAATCAGTTTGTTTTTCGTTTGTTCAACTTGCTTAGGGTTATAATGCAAGGAAAGTTAATTGCAGTTGCGTATACTCAGGATAAAAGCATTTAATTTTGATAATTTTGATATTCACATAATAGTTTCCTATGACCAGAATATTTCATTGATTTTTTATGTGAAAGATGGATCCCATGTCAGGCTGTGACATCCGTCTTGTGTTTACATTACCGCCCAGAGACAGTACACTGTAGTACAAAAAATGTGGACACCTCCAAAATAACTTTCCTTGCATTAAAACCTTGAACCTGCTTATCGTCGTTCATTATAAAAAGCTTAAACATTTTAAAACCAACATAATTTAAAATAAATTTTAGTTAAATGTATAAAAAAAAAAAAAATATGAAGCATTTTTAAATATAAGCAGCGAGTAGCTTTTATTCGCTATATATGATCAGGAGATGAGAAATTCAAAATAGATATCAATATTTGATTTTTATATGATTTTAAATCAAATCAAATAAACTTGAGTTCATTTGGTTTGCAATAACTTTTTGATAAAGATTCCAATTTTTATTGAGTTTAAATTTTTCTATAAATAACTATTTTTATTGTACATTTTGCATTTAAACAATCAATGTTTAGTTGGAAAACAAGAAGAGATTATTAATTCTTGATTAAAAGGGTTCGTTGTGAATTGAACATGCCACTCTTTATAACTGCTGGGTTGCTTGAAACCACGTGTACAGTCCCTTTAATATTTTCCAAAGGTGTCAAATATATGCACATGAATTTTCAAGTGCTGAAGAATTACAAAGTTTGAAAATTCGCGGAATTTGTGAAAACTTGATTTTCTCTTTTCAACTGAGAAGTTCTCCTGTTTGGACAGATTTAGGATTTATCTGAAAAATCACTGAATTTACCGGTTGAAGTAGAGAACTTTTAAAGGAAGTCTTTGACACAAACTCAAAATTTTATATCCCTATATCTTTGCAACCGGATATTTCAAGCTTAGATTATTTGATCCAACAGAATTAATGGCTTGAAATATCTCAGGTCTACCACATTAGGTTTCAAAAGATAGGGATAAAAAATCAGAGATTGTAGTAAAGGCTCAATTCCTTAAAAGAGATAACACGCGTGTTTTCAAAGTGAAAACTAAAAATGAGAGAAATGTCGTCGTTTATCTTTAAAGTTTTAGATTCTGATAATTAAATGAAAATTAAAAAGTGAAAATATATTGGATAGATGATAGATCACGTCTAATTGGGTTGAAACTAAAATTTTTTTCTCAGTTTTACCTTATATTCAAATCTGCAACTTTTTGAATTCATCAGAGATCATTTTTGCCAAATAATTCTTATATACTGAATTCTGAAAGATCAAAATCTGAAAAAACCCCAAAAAACGACAAAAAATGAAAATTTTCTTTCTTGCGGTGCTCGGCCTCGGCCACACCTAGCCTGTCCTAGCCAAATAACATTTTTAGTAGAAATAAATTGAAAATAATTTAGTATACATTCCATATTTTTTTATACTAGAAGTTTGTCTTGACAACGTTATCCCCTCCCCCCTCGAATCTAAGTTAGTTTACACTCCCCTTGTCGTAAATTACAATATTCGCTAATTTTCCTGATAAAAATCGGCCCACTTATTTTAGAATCTCAAAATTAAGCTAAAAAAAATTCTGTAGTTAGCGCCATTTTGTTTTCTGAAAAATTTATATTTTTAAGGCTACAACAAAGAATCAAACATAACAGACAAGTAAAGAATACCAACGTTATATGAAGTTGTAATAATGCAGCTAAATACGAAAATCTCTGTTATTAACCAATAATAAAGTTTTTTTTGTTGAAAACTTTTAATGAAAAAACTTATTTTATATTACAAAATGATTGAATACAATATTAATTTAAAACATAAATTCCATTCTCCACGTGTAATAATAATGATATATCTATCTTGCATTGTTATTGCCCTTAATACTTATGGAATTTTCCCGAAAGGAATTGAGTTTTCTTTGTTACAAACTCAAAATTTCTAATCCTTCTTCTTTGCTACCTGAAGGTGTAAATCTTTGATATTTCAAACCTAAATTATGTATCTAACCGAATTCATAGTTTGAAATATCTACAGACCTTGAAATAAGGTTGTAAAGATATAATTTGAAAATCAAAGTTTGTGGCAAAGACTCAAATCCTTTCTTTCAATGAAAACCGACCTCATATGCCCATTAATGTTTTAATAGAAAAGTCAAAATAAAAAGTTGAGGCAAATCGGTTGAAGGCGATTAAAGACTAAAGTGAGCAAATACACCTGGAGATCAAATGCCATGAATTATAAGTTTGAAAATATAAAAAAAGAGATTATCATTAAAACGGTAAAGGTTAAAGTTCCATGGTACAACATGTACTCTATATTCATTCTAACTAACATATGCTTTTCTGTAGCCCTTGTTTATTTCAGCACCATAAAGCATTTGTTGTTAGCCTTAGTTTTTAAGATGAAGTAATTAGCAAAATTCTCATAGATTTTCGCTTGAAAGCTTGCAACCTTTAAATCACAGTGATGTACATAACGTACTGACAGACTCAGGCAAAGCTGAAGAATACAACAACTAAGTCATCTTATTCTGATAAATGTTGTTTATCGTTTGGTCCGCTTTTTGAAACTTGAAAAAAATCTTCTAAAATTTCAAAAACTATTTTAAGTTAAAGTTAGCTTTCATTAAACTTTTTTATTGTTAAAAAAACATATTTGTTTTTAAGATTTTTTAAGATTAGTTTTTAGATTCGTTTTGCCTTTTTTTACTGCTAGAGTCACAATTTGGCAAAATGTAAGAAATAAAATGTTTAGAAAAACAATTTTAATTAAAGACAATTGTTTTTGATACACTCTATGCCAAATTATACCCTTAAAGCAAATATAGGCAAAAAACGAACCAGGATGAACGTACATCATTCAGGTGACATGACAGGTTGGAGATCAGATATATCCCACCTTATTCGAATTTAAAGTTTAAAACCGATTGTATTCATCAAAAGGAAAAAATCGAAATTTATCCTGGTTATTATTTTGAAAAAAGGGAGTGGCAGATTAATCAGAAACAAATAGGTCTGATTATTACTAAATGTGCCCTGCAATTTTATATTGAATTTATATTATTATTTTAAATGTTTCCTTTCAAGGGATAAGAAAAGAAAAGTATCATTTTTCTTAAGAACTGAACAGTGAACATACAGCACTAAGTGGTATATTTCATGATTTATATAATATTTTATATTTTTATCTTTTTGTTTTTCTAACCATAGATAGAATATATATTTATATCAAAGTGGGGGGGGGGGTAATGTGACTTATAAAGACTGTTGAGGAATAAAACAAAAAAGTTAAACCAAAAAAAGGAACTTTCTAGACCCGGTGCACTTTGAAGCATCCCCTTGGCCTTTAGTTTTACATTACTTACTTATACTAGCTTTTGTAGCCATAAACATTTCAAATCCACAACGGCATATCTTTTTATTGAAAGGAATATATCTAATTGGCGAAGGCTGGATTTTTGCATGAAAGTATCCACACTTTCAGGGCCCTAATGAAATCAGAAGATCGAACATTCCCATAAAAATGAGCCCGTCCTGCGGTACAGAATTCTGGTTCTCCTGCATTGCTCTAATCCAGAAAGTTTGAAAAGTCCAAAAATATTCCAAAGTTTGCTCATTATCTCCTCTATACCTTGCTCTGTTGCATACCTTTGTACTAAATGCTGAATATTTGCACGATTTTTAAAAAGAAGTTTTTTATTTAAAGCATCATGAAGTGGAGCAACTGTGTGGGGGGGGGGTCGAACCAATATTTGCACCCCCCCCCCTCTCTCACCCACCTCACTTGACTCCAGCATGATCATGATTGTGGGCCATCTTTTATCAAATTTTGTCAATTAAAAAAAAATATAAAATTTTTTTTTTGGCGCTTCAAGCTATTTCTATTAGAATTTTTAACTATTCTCTTGTTTTCCACTTAAAGAAAAGTCAGTCATTCTTAATTAATCCTCTCAAAAAAAACCAGTATATATGTTACTTCTCATGACAATCTAAGAAGAATAACAAGAAATTTAATGAGGATTCTAACGGACTATTAGGACTTTTGGAGACTTTAAGAGTAAAACAGGGATAAGTTCCTTACTGGCAAACAAGGACAGAGGGACTTAGATCAAAAAGACTCTTATGGATTATGGACAGACGAAGTATATTCAAGTACTGCCAGGAACTATATAGGACTGCACAGCCTACGATTTAGGGACTATATAGTGGTCAAATATGACTAGTGGATGAATTACAAAAAAATGGTATAGATTTTAACAGAGGACTTAATATACATGGTGAATATGACTAAGCCAGGGACTAACAGACACTAAGAAATACATGAAAAGACACTAGAAGAGCAGACATTTTTTGGCGTTTCACGCACATGTGTTCAGCTCGTATGTTCCAACGAGGACTAAATATCTTCACAATAACCAAAGTCTTAACCAACTAATTTGTATTTACAAATATACATGTTAATTTTTATATGTATTTACAATATATGCGCAGATATATATCATCG